TATAATGAAATTCAAACTAGATAAGAAATATAGATATGTGCTTGAGTTGGTTGGACGTCTTGTCCACACCCAACGCCATGAGTCACATAAGTAGGAGAATATGTGCGCCGTTATATTTTTGCTGCCGATATAAGCTCCTCCCAAGAAAATTCCTGCGGTTTTTCGTGGAAAGTGCTCAGGAGATCACGTCTTCGCGGGCCCTGGTCCGGGAGATAGAACTGCTGTAGTCCAAAGGCCAGAACTTGAGCAGCGGAGGGAGAAAGAAGGAAACGTCCTGGATCGTTAGTAGACGGTGTCAACTCGCCTCGCATGAGAACCACGTCATGTGTATGGGCAAGGTCGGTATAGTGGGTGAGTATCAGATGAGGCAATGCAAATGATTGTCTCAGCTTATACTCCTGAAGAGGCGTAAATATCACCGTCGTATATGGTGGGTTTTGTGATGTCTTTGACCAAGAGAATAGGTCCACAGGAATTTCACTTGGAACAGCTGGCGAATGATGATGGCCCCACTCCATATAATAGAACTCGTAAGGATCAGAGGAAGTAGACTTTTCTGGGGACGTCTCAACCTGAGCCTCAGGACGCGGGAGAGGTAGTATGAACGAAGGGTATTTTTTCGCTGTTGGAAGGAAAGACTCGTATGTAGCGCGAGGTATGACCGCTGAGAGATAACCCTTGCCGGTAGCTGATTTAGAAGTGTGATAGGCGTTCCATAGAGTTCCAATTTGTTCAGACGTGTGTGGTGTCTTCAAAATTCGAGAGAGGTCCATGATATCCGAAAGGGGCTATAATGTTGGATGAGATGAGAAAGTCAATTTGAATAGGTAGCATGATTACCGTCACAGGAGAGCTATCACGTCTACTTTGGCTTGGCTGCTGAGACTTTGCAAATGTCCGTACTGGCTGGTTCTCCTTTTTCACCTCTGGCGCGACTTTTGAGACAGTACTTCTGAATTCAGATGCATCCTTGAGTCCTAGTCTGAATATATATTAGAAAACTCTGCCGGTGACGGAACGTTCAGACAAGGACATACTGGCTGAGTTTTGCCTTCACTTTTTCGGCATACTTTTCCTCGTAAGTACTTTCGAATCTCCTTTGAAGGAAAATCCTGCCTCCAGCTGGTCTTAACCGAACTCGAGCGAATGCCGACCTCATTGGAGAAAATTATGTAGTAAACACGAGTGCCGGAATTTCAAAGTCCGAAAAGCAACACTTACCCTCCGTTGGCATAATGGATTCCTCAAAACTTACCGCTCTGGCTGGCCCCATATCGTATTTCATTGTTGTAATAATTCTCTTCTATGTCATTATACAATCGCTCAGAAGCAAGGCGTTGGCTACTCGGTCATCTACGAGTAAACTGTATGGCGCGCTCGCGCTGACATCGTTCTTTCATACTTTCAGCTGTAAGTATAGAATCGTGGTAAAGGACCCTATTGAGCTCTTTACAGATATACTACTGGATTTCAAGGTCAATTTGGAACAATCCCGGCTAATTAATGTTCATTTACTGACTTGAGCAACCAGTGGAGTTATACGAATTATTATAATCGCCTCGACTACACAGTGGTCGGCTCACCTGTGGACCTGGTTGCACATTGGCTACAAAACGTTTCAATTTTCGAGGAGATGTGGCGGTTAGCAACAATCTACTCCTAAAGCTACACTGTACTAATATAGAGAAGACATGGTTGTGACGGTATACTTAATTGGTGGTGGATTGAGAACCTTTGCATATTTACTGCTGGAACTTGGACGGTATTTCTTGTCTCAGAAGGTTTGAATTCATCTGTTTCTCTTCTTTTCGCCTCTCATGTGCATTTAGGCCGCAAAAGAAATATTCCTCACCTGTGGGCATATGCCATCATCTCTCAAATTGTTGCTGTTTCTACGGCATTGTCCCTATTTTGCATCGCCGTCACTTTACAGTCTCCGCGCGCCAAACATATCCCTTCCAAAAAGAACGATGACGAGATCAATGCCGTCCTCCTGAGTGCGGAAGAGGAAACAGAGGCACCTGCTCAACTGAGCGTTCCGGTCTTGTTGGGTTTATTCCTGGTTTCAGCTTGTCCAGCGCCCACTTCACCCGACTTCCTCCCAATTATCCTTTCTCTTCATGCGGTTCTCCTTATACCCACACTTCCAAATGCGTTATGGACGAGTCAACCCAACTTCTTACGACTGCCAGTGATGACAGTATACTTTGCGGTCACAGCCCTTTCACTTGTTTTAAGAATCCAGTCAACTCTCGCCGCCGTGATATCATTGGAATATATTGGGATAATGGAATTCGCTCAGGCGGCATGGCAGGTTTTACATTCCCACCCGGGAATGTCGACATTTGGTTGGGACACTGTTTGGCGCGCGGAGACTGTAAAGTGACGGCGATGCAAAATAGGGACAATGCCGTAG